CATAACCACACCGCATCCAAAGAAGGACGTCACATGTTGACGCATATCCCCTCAGCCCGGAGCACCAGGGCGCGAGATTTGCGCAGAGCCAACATGCCCATTATCTTTTTAATTCTAAAATAAATTTAATTTTGTTTTAAAAAAGCCTCTCACAGGTGCTGAAACGCGTGTGAATAGACTAGTAATATTATTATAGCTGAACAATGATAATATACCTAATAAAAATTATTATTTTAACCTAAAAAGTATTGATTAGGTAATTGTCCATTGGAAAGTTGTGGCGGAGATACGTGCCAAAAATTACTAGTTCCTTATATTTTGTAGGTATACTAATTTTAATTAGATTGCACAGGTATATTATTTAACAGTATTTCGTAAATTAGTATTCCTACAAAATATAGGTAAATAATTTACATATACAATCTAATTAAATTAGTATACCTAAAAAATATAGGTAAATACCCATAATTATTTTGTAGGTAGACTAATTGACGTAGATAAATACCCATAATTCTTTTTTGTTTTTAACTAAGGATTTACCTTGTTGTATATAATGCACCTCGATTTCAAGTTCAACAATTTAACTTAGAGGCATTGTGTACAACTTGGAAATGTAGGTGATTTATTGAACCTAAAACAAAGAGATCAAGAAATATAGAGAGCAAGAACACGTGTTCTTTACCTTCGAACGAATTAATTTCAAACCATAACAATTAATAAATTCAAAATATTGATATAAATAAAAGGAGTTATGTAACCGATACTAATTGGAAAGTTAAAAGAACAAATAACCAAGTAGCCAAATTGGAACAAATAACCCACGAGATTATCTCAAATTAAAAAAATTTAAAGGAAAAAGCAGACCCAAATTTGAATAAATTTTTTTGACCCAAACCTAAATCCATGCAAAATTGGAACACTATTAATGGGCATTGATTTGAAAATAATTAGTTGAAAACAAAAAACCACACGGTAAAGTGAGGCAATCAAAACGTACTCAAACCAAAAAAAGCACAATAAATAGGTAATTAAGGGTATTTTAGGAATTTAAAAATATAACATCGGATTATTGTCAAGAAATAATTAAGGGCACAATAATTAGTTGATTAGGAAATTTACTTAGTTGGATCCTAGTCATCAAATTTTTATCTAAAATAAAATAAAAAGATGGGTTGTAGTTGTAGGTAAGGAAAAATTAGATTGAAGGGGAAAAGTTTAAAAAAAAAAAAAAAAAAAAAAAAAAAAAAAAAAAAAGAAGGGGTAAATTTTCTATTATTTTTTATGGTTTTGTTAGCATTTATGATTAAATAAATTTTTTGAAGTAATAGGTTTTTTTTTTTTCTCAAATAATAATTTACTCTAAATTAATCTAATTTATAAATCAGGGACTTCAATCTAAGTGCAAGAGGACGGACTATGCTTAATATAGAAGGAAAGGTTTTCAATTAGCAATATATGTAGGCCAATACGAACATGAGTGTTGCTCATTCAGCATGAATAGGGAATGACATGACACTAATATTTAATAGATACATGCATATAAATTATATAATTTGAAAGATGTATTTATGCAACTATTTACCCAAAAATCTCCTTAGCCCTATCGATAGGCCAGGAGAATTTATTAGATGTGAGCGTGCTACTACAAATTGCGCCTCACATAATCTGATCCCTAATTAAGCTAGTATGCTCCGAGTTCGGAATCGGCTCATATTGGTTTTTTTTTTTTTTTTTTTTTTTTTTTTATTTAAAAAAAAAAAAATTAAAGGTAAACTTCAACAATATAATCCAAGACATCAAACATATTTAGGGTTTTGGTTATGTTAGGTTTTTGTGGGCTTTGTTTGGGTTTATTGTTAATTGTGGTGATTTGAATTGGTAGTTTTAGGGCGGCTTTTGTCCGGGTTAGTTTTGCTTTTAGCATTTAGTTTGTTCTAAAGCACCAATTCCAAGAAGCCACAAATTAACATGCTAAAAGCAAAAATAAAGCAAACAAAGGCTGCACTAGAACTACTAGTCTACATCACCACAATTAAGCATAAGTCCAAAGAAAGCCCACAAACCTAACATAGTTGAAACCCTAAAGCAATCCAAAATCTTAAATGAACCTTACCACCACCACCTAAAGAAGCGTCGTCATAGCCACACCCACCACAACCTAAACTCGTGAAGCCATAACAAATTTGGCGAAAACATGGTCTCCAACAATCTACATGCGCTTAAGAGTGAATACATAAATCAATATAGCAACTCTCACAAAGACCAAATTAGAGAACATGAGCAGTGTAAGAGAGTGGGTTTTAAGACAAGGATTTGATTGAGAACATAGCCCAAAAGATGTGATGAGGAACTTCAAACTCAGCAATACTCGGAAGAAATTACCACAAGGGGCTTGAAATTGGTACTTAGGTGTAAGAGGTAAAAATTACACTTTTAACAAGTTAGACAACGATCCTACGAACAAACTAATCCTAATCATAGACCTAAGAACACACAGCAGAATACACAACCAGTTATCAATCAATTCTCAAGTCCCTGCAAACTTAGAAGATGACTAAGTGACAACCTAAGCACTCAAAAGGACTCGTGAATCTAAGCAAACCCTGTGCTAGCAACAACTCGAGTGAGAGGTGTGTGAACATTCATCATCATTCCAAAGATAACAGATACAGTATGACTAGCCATAAAATCAAGATCAACAGACTGGAAATGTTCACCTAGAAACTTACCACTAGGAAAAAGTGTGGGTCATCACTCCAACCAGGCAATCCACTAAGTTAAGAAGATTCTTACAAAATAGGTAATCACAAAATCAAGCAAACCTAGATCTATTTAGGAATAGAGCGCTACCTTCCTATGCAACCTTCTTGTCATTCATGGAAATGGCATGTAGTCCATCTACTTCTTCACCTAATAACACCACAACTCAGCTTCGGATTAAAGAAAATAATGAAATATAGATTCTGAGATGAAAAGGGATCAATTCCTACAGGAAACCATCCTGTTGAAGAAATTAACTCAAAATCTGACCTAGATAAGAATGAAGATGTGTTTAACTATCCCAAATGCATATTTCTATACTCACAGCACATTTCAAAAAGCCAAATTTCAAAATCTCTTAATGAAAAAGTACAGACCTCACTCTCAAATATAAAATGCAGAGCAAGAAGAACCTCTAAAAAGTTCTCTCCTAAAGGAAGTAAATTCCAAGGATCAAAGGAGATTTTAAAAAATTTCCCAAACATAAAAATATTTGTGAAAGTGATGGCTACAAAACCAAAGCTTACCTTTTACCCAAAATAGCTAGGTTAGAAAGCAATCCATATGGCGGTTAATGAATGAAGCTATAATGAGACAAAAGGACAGAAAACCTACAGCTAGCAAAGTGTGACACTCATGTGAGAAAATAAATGAGCTGGCAGTACACGTATATTTCAACGGATGACCAGTCATCATGTTGACTATGCATATCCTAAGGCAATCTAATGCATGCTATGCATGATTTACCTTTGAGCTTGATTTACATTGAGTCACAATTTATTCTCAGTCAAAATAATATTCTTCAACTAGACTAACCTAGTCTAATTAATTAACCTTGAGCTTGATGAATTACATGTGCAAAACAAAGTTGTCAAGGGAAACTAAAAATCTTAGCTAAACATAACCTAACAAGGGCTTCATATTCAAAAACTCCAGTGGACTTATTCACTAACCCAAAAAAAGAAGGCAAGAGTAGATGAGGCAGATGAGGGGCAATGACACTTGTTCCTCCTCTGCCCTCTATGGAGTTTTTCTTTGGGAGTCCCAAAGGAAGTTGTTGATGCTCTTTTTGGGAGGGTCAACTTAGAGATAAGAGTAGAGTTTTTTGGCAGGGAAGAAGGTGAGGACCTTCGGAGTTGGAGGAACCTGCAGAAGATAAAGAGGAAGAAGCAGTCGTCAAGCTTCGGACACCGGTGTGGTGTCTGCTGAAGGATCTCCGATGCTTAAGTCAACTATATGTGGTAATTTTGGCAGAGTAACAGTAAATGTGAGAAAATAGTTACCATTTTTACTTACTGTTTCCTAATTATAGGGGAGTGAAAATGGGAGTTTTGCACAAAATTTCGATGTGGGACTTTGTGCAAGTTGCTATTGTCGTGGCATGTGTCCTTGGAGATTAATTTTGGTAGTCGAGAGCTTCGGCAGTCGGGAGCTTCGACAGGTGTTTGGCACTTCGGAAGAGTGTCTTCCTTCGGTAGGGAAGAAGACGTGTCTGCCTTGGTGCTAGTCATTTTGATGATGGATATGCTCGGTTGATTATGGTGTAAACAGTAGTCCCCCAAGTTCGAGGTCAAGAAGTAACTTATGGGTTGGGAACTTGTGAGATTTTTGTGTAATCATGACCGAGCATTCCAGATTCAGTGGGAGCCGTAGGGCATTCCCTAGTCCCCCAAGTTGGCAAGCTAGAAGTTGCGTAAACACTTGGAAGGTATGGTAAAAGTTGTGTGAGCCTCTAGAATTGTTGGTAGCTGGGTACCTAAGCATTTGGCAAGGAGAAGTTAGGGGAGCCCCTAGGGTTTACGATATGATCCATGCCATTCGGCAAGCGTTTGGTCTTTGGGATTATGCCAAGTAAACACTTGGTTTAGGCTGTGCAAAATCCTTCGGCATGTTATTTTTTAGAGAAAAGTAGGCTTGGGCCACTCAAGCTTCGGCAGGGGTGATTTTTCAAGCCCCCATTCCTTCTGCACAGCCCTTGCAGTTCGGCAAGGCTGTTTTTGTTTTTTTTGTTTTTTTTTGTTCCCTCATGGAGCTTTGGCAAGGAGTGAGGGAATTTGGGCTTCGGCAATGCATATTTGTTGAGCATGGTATGGGATTTCGGTAAGGAGAATCCCTTGGGAGCCTATTTCTCCATTGCATGCTCCTTGCTATTCGGCAAGAAGGCTAAAATGAGCCTAGGCCCGGTTTAGGCTTCATGGGTTTCAGCAAGTCGTGGGCTTGGCTTTCGACAAGGGTCCCAAATGAGAGATAAGTGCCAGGGTTTGGGAATGAGGGGTGCAAATTCCGCAGTATTTGTAGGACCTTCCGTTAGGCAAGTCCCCTTGGAAGAAGTTTGCGGCGCCAGCAAACCCTCGGTTTCAACACATCCTAGCTTCGGTAAAAGAGTTCCTTGTGACCTCTTGTGCCCTCTATATAGCCCTTGCCGTTTGGCAAGGGTTCGTTGGCGAAAATTTTGAGAGGGCCAGCAGCGGTGATTTGGGAAGTGCTAGATCTTTTTATCTTCGGCAAGGTGAGGGAGGTGATCAAGCCTTCTTGTCTTCGACAAGGCTGGTAAAGGTTAATTTGTAGTTGGGCCTCATTTGGCAAGGGGTACTGATAGTATTCTTAGAACCTGCGCAATAAGGTTAAAATCATTTAAAATACTTGCAAGAATACAAGGTAATTGTAGTATAAGTGCTCATACAAGGTCATTGTCCCCAAAGATTGTTTGACTAATTTGTAATTAAACTAACTCTTAATTAATAACTAAAATAGATTTTATCAAAGATTTGAAGTTTATGAATTTGAAAAGATTAAATTAACAGTAAAAGAAATCTGAAAGTTGGGAAATAATAACAACAAAGAAGAAAAACGTTTTCTTTTTAAAGACTAACAATTTAGAGAAAACTAGGGCTTAGCCATCACTGTCACAATCCTATGCAGTTCTATCAATTACTTATGAATTTTCACATATATGCTTTGAAGGTTAGGTTTTCCTAATGGATATTTTCCTTGTGATGTTCAAGCGAAAACATATATCTAACATGCAATCCATCTGTGATGTTAAGATCAAATATAAACATGCAAGACTCATTAAGTTTTGTGAAAACCCTTTGAAAAACCATGCAACCCTTAAGAGCATGATGTTCGCCTTAAGTGAACTTACAACTACTAATCACAAGAAGACATCCTCAATTTTAGGGTGATGTTCCAATATAAATTGCATCAATTACTTGTCTATATATCCTAGTGGTGATCAGTCATTAAAATAGATAGATAGTTTTAAACGCAGTGATTGATAATTCAAAGCAAACATGCATCCATTCATAAGCAAATTAATAAATTACATATACATGCTAAGGCTTATGGCCTCGCGCTATCAATTTGAATTAGTTACGCATACCCATAATTAAAATCAAATATCATTCAAATGAATAGGAATAAAACCACCTTGAAGTAGAAGCTCTTCAAAAACCCTAGCCGTCTCTGTCTTCCCCAGAATTGAAAAAAAAAAAAAAAAAGAAAAAAAAAATTGCTGCCGGAAAGAACTTAAATACCTCCTAAAACCTAGCTACCCAATCCCCACCAAGAAACTAAGTTAAAATAAAATAATACTATGATATAAAATCCAAATTGGATTAGGAGAATCTGCCCACAATCTCCCCAGCCACATTTTGGCCTCAAATCTCCTCCAAATCCGGCCCAAGATAGCTTGTTTTAAAGATAAAATCATTCCAAACACTTCGCCAGAAAGCTCCGAACCCATCCGAGGTCATCTTGGGCTCCAAAAACGCAATAAGAGCCCAAAATGTCACTATTCCAGCACCGCACACTGCGTCTTTTGTTTATTGCCAGAAAATAACCGCTTGGTAGAAAACTCTGAAATTTCGATATGATCAAGATACATGACTCACGAATGTCCTCCAACTGGAATTACTCTAAAATTCATCCATTTGATTATGTTCTGCTCCAGAGGAAGTCGAGAGCCCTATATTGGAAATATAATTCAAAGTATCAAAATTCTTCCAAACTATTAACCAAAATATACTAAGAATGAGGTTAAATATGTAATATAAAATTGACTCATCAGGTACTAGGAAGTAACGACTTGCGCCTTGTCCACAGCTTCAGCAGAGTCGGTTTTCCTAGATCATTGATTTAGCACGGCCCTTGCCGTTCGGTAAGGACTTGTCAGAAAGGGGCAGTGGCCTTGTATACCTTCCCAATTTTTGGCCGGTATTTGCGACTGGATCCTTGGTCTTTAATAGCTTCGGTGGTAGCCCTCTCTCGAGCAAGCATCAGTTTCAGCATGGCCCTTGTGCCGTCGCGTAATTGAGCAACTTTGTCAGTTGCTAGTGGGTTGTTCCGCTTGGGTCTTTCGGCAGAAAGAGTGTTGTTCTTTTTGGAGCGTGCCCTCGGTACTGTCATTGCCCTTGTAGTTTAGCAAGGGTGAGGGAGAAGAAATTTTGTTAGAGCACACAGCCACAACCTTGAGGGCTAATTCGGAAAGGACAACTTGGTAAGGGTTTAATGCTTGGAAAGGTCCCTTCCGTGACTTCTGCACGCTCCCTGCCATTCGGCAAGGCAAGTGCCATCCTCACTCTCTCTTGAATTGATGTTGGGTTTCTAGGATTTTCGGTGATAGCTGGGGTGACCTTGGATTGGGCTTCACTTTCGGCAGGGATTTGGGGCTGGGCCTTTCCAGGTGTACGAACAATCGGCAATTGAGGGTCTTGGTGAGGCTGGGAATTGGAGCTGGGCCTTTGTTGAAGCAAGTATTTTTGCGAATGCCCTTTTCCTTCTGCACGTTGCTTGCTGTTCGGCAAGGCCAGTACAAGATAAAATTTGATTGATTTTGGTTTTTTTTTTTTTTTTTTTTTTTTTAATTTTAAGTAGGTTTTGGAGGGAAGGGAGGGAGGCTAGATCCTTGGCTACGATGGGGTTTGAAAAAGGGATTAGAGAGGGTGAGTCCTCCTTTACTTCGGCAAGGAGGTGAGGATCTGGAGTGTTTGCGCTGTTGGCGTGTTGGGCTTGGTAGTCCTTCGATGTGGGTTGGGTGCGAAGAGGCCTAGTTGAAATCTCAAAGGGAGGCTGTTGGCCCTTCGGTATAGGCCCAAGGGGGGAGTGCGCATAGCTAGGAGCTTCGATCCCCTTGGTGTTTTAGCTCACATGGGGCTTGGTGTTGGGCCATCAACGTTTGGTAGGTGGACCTTGGCAACATGGGAATTTTGTGAGTCCCCCATTCTTCTTCTCAACCCTTGGCAACATGGGAATTTTGTGAGTCCCCCATTTGTTTGTGCTCATTCTTCGGCAAATGGGCTGAGCCTACGGGATTTACAGATTTGGAAGCTGGGCTGCATTTGAAGGGAGGCTATTGGGCCTTTGGTATGGGTGTCTTCGCCCTCATTCATTTCGTGACCTCCATTTTTCTTTCATGGGCCTTGCCGTTCGGCAAGGCTTGTTTGTAAATTCGGTATGATGGTGAATTTTTTTGAATCTTTGGCAGGGTCCTGGAAGGAGAAGGCCGGGGGCTAGGCTTCTTGTCATTCGAGCCCAACAGTTTTTTTCTTTAGCTCAAGCCTTGCCGAAGCCAAGGAGGTGTTGGGATTAGGGCGTAAGGCTATGGGGAGCTGGGCCTAGGGCTACGGCAGGAGCAGTAATAAGTAGACAGTTGCTTGGCAAGGTTAGAATATTTGTGACCCTCCATTTCTTCTGCACGGGTTCAGCAATGCCTTTTCGAATTCCTCTTCGTTTTTTGTTTGTTTTTTTGTTTTGTGATTTTGAATTTGAAATTGTTCGGAGTAGGTACGAGGAATTTATAGAGGGAAGGTGGAAGGGTGCTAGGGTTTGTGCATGAACCGAGGCGTCGGTACCCTTGAGTCTTTATAAATGGGGACTTGGGGTGAAGAAGGTATCACACTTTGAGTCTTTGTGAAAAAATTCTAGAGAGTGAGATGGAGAGGAAGAAATTCCGACGAGATACTCTGGTGATGGTGTTGTGGCCAAGGTGATTTCCGGCGTCCTTTTCGTGGTCGTGCAAACAAGGTTAGACCTCATTTCCCTTGAATTTTCGAATTGAAGTGTCCTTTTTGGCATGAACATGTTGAATACTAGGATGAACACCTTGAATATGGATATGAACTTGATGAACACCTTGAACATTGATATGAACTTGTTGAATGTTTGTTTGTAGATCAAAGAGCATGTAGGTGTGCCATCCTTTTTGTGTTTTGATCCTTCTTGCATGTGCATTAGTCCCTTTTTCTAGTTTATGCATATTGTAGATGTCTAAAACTTCTGGTAGAGAAAGTCATGACCCCCCTGCCTTTGGTGGGGAAAATACTGAAGGTGAGGAGCCAAGCCTATATGTGTGTTCCGAAGGTGAGAGTTCCCAAATGGAGGGTGTGGTAGAAGGTGTTATAGAGAGTAGGATGGTAGGGCTCGAGGGTGAGAGGAGGGAGCTATTAGTGGACTCTTAGGAGGTTGAGTACAAAGAAATGCAGAGGAATTACAAAGAGTTAGAGGCCACAACTAATCAGGTTCTGGCCTTGCCTCAGACACCAGAGGTGGGCTCGAGCAATTAGGCATCACTGTCGGGGTCTGTGGGAGTGACCGTGGCTTTAGCTTCAGAGGGGTTGGAGGTACGGGTTGGTGTTCCTTTGTCGAGGAGGAATATACTTACAGAGGCAAAACTGGCAGAGCTTTGGATGAATTTTAGTGTCCCACCCACGGTGGGCTTGAGGCTACCTACTGCAGTTGAGGTGGTTAGATATCCTCCAGAGGGATGTGTGCTCATATTTACGGATATGTATCATTATGGCTTCAAACTACCATTTCATCCCTGGGTGCAGATGATGTTGGCCAAGCTGGGGTACGCGCTGGGGCAATATAATCCCAACTTTTGGATTCTTCTTCATGGGGTATATATTGCTTGGTGGTTGACTGGATTGGGGGAGCCTACATTTGAGCAGTTCATGTATTTGTAATTGATTTCGAAGCAACAGGGAAATTTTGGCCGGGTACAAGCCAATTGCCAAAAGGCAAAAGAGAGGGGTTATTTTATTAGTCGCATGCCTTTTACTCAGAAATCCTAGGGAACATACGGTGTCTGGCCCACGGTGACTGGGAGTGTCCGCTGGGGAAGACCGTCACTAAACACGTTCCTATCCACTTCCAGTCTATCGGTCCTTGGCCCCATCCTTTGAGTCTGATTGTTGTTTTGTTGTGTTTTAACTGCTTTCATTCTTGGTTCTCCATTGTTTGCTTTTGTAAGTATAAATGGCTGAGTGGTATCTAAACTTTGGTGCAGGTTCAGTGAAGTGGGGACCCATTTTCAAGGAGAAGGACGAGGTTGAGAGGGTGAGGTCACTACTATCGGAGACTGAGCGGGAGTACCAACACTTAGTCATGCAGAAGAATCTGCAAGAGTCTGGACTCTTTGCAAGGGAGTAAGTATTTGAGCTACTGTTTTTTTTTTTGTTTTCATCCTTTTTGTGGTTGTGACTAACTTGACTTTTGATGTGCAATAGTAGATGTTATAAAGGGAGGCACAAAGGTGGTTGTGGATATTGATGAGGCCGAGAAGCAGAGGCGATTGAGGGAGTTTCGAGTGAAGAAGGCAGAGAAGGAGGGTGCCACTCGGGCGACTGGGAAGCACCCTAGAGATGACAATGAGGGGTTGGTTTCCGATGTGATGGGGTAGAATAAGGCGTTGGAGGAAGCTAACCAGAGTGTGATGGGGATGGGGCCGAGGCTTCCTCCTTTTGATCTACAAGTGCCGCCGAAGCTCCCCTTGTTGGTCCGTCGCAAATCTCGTGGCCTGGTGCTCCGGGCCGAGGGGATGTGCATCAACACGTGACGTCCTCCTTTTGGATGCGGTGCGGTTGTGCGCGGGCGTGCCAGCACAGTCTACCGTGCGTCGAAGTGATGGTGAGGTTCGGGTAGAAAATGGTTTAAATGTTGCGCCTGTTTTGCGTTCGACTCCTAATCAAACGATTGTGACCGAGTGAGGAACAAATCTCGGTCGTCAGGTTCACGGCCTGAGCTACAAGGCCGTTTAGTGGTGGTGTTGGTGGTGGGTTTTTAGGCGGTGCTCCGGCGCGTTGCTCAGAGAGCGACGGTCGTATGATATATGGGGTGAGTGAGGCGATAACAGAGATAGTGCTCCGGCCTTGAAAATCAAGGGTCGTATGATATATTGATGAATGGATTTTCCTTACAGTCTACCACTACTTCTAAGAAAGCAAATAAAGGTATTGAAAGTGCATTACAGGAAAATATAATTTGCTCTGTAGGAGGCTTTTGGTTTTGGTGTTTGAACCCCTTGAACGTGGTCTTGAGCTTAGCATTTATAGGAGGAGCCCTGGAGGGCCAATCGAGGTTGAAAAAAGATTTGCCTGATGGCTTGAAAATATCTGCATGGTGGAGTCTGATCGGGGCAAGTGGGTAGTCAAATCGGCATTTGGGGTCGTGAAGCATGGTGGTGTGACCCCCATAAATCTCGGCAAATCTCGGCCACCGCCCTGATCGTGGGCTCTACACTCTTGGTCGTCAGAACGCATTTAATTCTCTGGTCCAGTGGTTGGTGATCTGACCACAAGCTGTGAGAATGCTTTGTGAGAATGTTTGCGCCTAACCACTCGGATTCCTGTTACCAAATCCTGACTTCAATCACTTCCCTTCTGTCCTCGTGCATTAAATGCTTCTTGCACCCAGTGGTTTTGCTGTGGCGGTCAGAGGCACTACTTCATTAAATGGGGCGTGGGACCCTGAGGCCACGTGGCGATTTGACCATAGTATCTTTGGTCGTGTCTCTCATGGACCTCGGCCTTGGCCTATAATGTCGTGGTTATGAGGCCGAGAAGATCCTGCCTTCATATTTTTCTTCTGTTTTCGAAAAGGCTAAATGTTCGACGAAACGTGGCCGTTTCAGTCCATGAACAGGTGCTACGGCCGAGAAGAGGTCCCTTCTGACGACTGTGATTTATTTAGGCACAAACACCCCTTTGGTATGTAGTATGTTTTTGCTGAGGGGGTTGAGAGGGTGGGCTTCGGCAAGCTGCATCGGCAGAAGAATGAGGTGAACCTAGCCATGCATCGGCAGGAGGTACCCTTGGTGAACATCTTCCTGGAAGGCATTAAGAGTGACCCCGAGCGAGCGCAAAAGACGAGCCTGATGTCTGCCTATGTAAGTTATATGTATTTATGAATTTATTCTTGTCATTTTGGTTTTGCTATGACTAACAATGCTTTGATTTACAGGCCTTTGGCGAGATGTATGTCAATCTAGCTATGGCAGATAAAGAGATCTAGAGGTTGAAGAGGCGCAAGAAGATGACCAATGACCAGATGGCAGAGGCGCAAGAGGCCATTCGAGAGAGGAATGCCCTGCTATTGTAGAACGCGGCGCTAGCCAAGGAGGTGGATGAGCTGAAGCAGAAGAAGACCAAGGAGATAGATGCTACCCGAGTCGAAGCGGTCGAGTCATTCCGCACTTCAGAGGAGCTAAAGAATTATATCCTGGACTGGTTGGTGGATGAGCAGATTTATTAGGAGGAGACCTTGGCGAAGTTCAACCCTTTGCTTGAGATCAACTTCAATAAGAGCGGCGAGCCTCCTTCACCTAGTCCTGTTGCTGATGCCACTGCAGTTGCGCCAAAGTTAGAGCCGGCCACCGCGAATGCCCCACCCACCGAAGCCTGAAGGCATTACCTTCATTATGTATTCTAGTTATTTTTGGAACCAGGTTATTTTGATTTGCTATGATTATGTTTCCTTTGATACCAGTTGTGTTAACAAAGTGCCAACATGCGATAGATATGAATGAGCCGAAGTCAGGCGTTTCATTAGATAGATGCCGAAAGGTAAAAGGTACATAGTATGCTAGCTTGAGACCTAGGATAAGTGCCGAGGCAAGACAAAACAAAAACCAACCTTAATCACTTATAGTAAAACTTAAGGTGATCAGCGTTCCAAGGGTGGGGCAAAGTCTTGCCCTTGGGATCACGAAGCTGATAAGTGCCGGGGTGGCAGACTTTGGAAATCTCATAAGGACCTTCCCATGTAGGACCCAAGGTACCTTCGACTGAGTTTTTGGTCACCAAAGAGTCCTTGCGCATGACCTAGTCTCCAATCTTGAAAGCACGGGGTTTGACTTAGAAGTCATAGTACTTGGCGATACGCTATTTGTAGACTATACCCCACTTGGTGAAGTAGTCTATAACAACAACTGCGTACTTGACCTGGCCCTTTCCCTCAAGCATAGGTCCGATGAGGTCAAGTCCCTATTGAGCGAATGGCCAAGGACTGACCATGGCTGTCAATAGTTTAGCTGGAACCTGTGAGATGTAGCAAAACGTTGGCATTTGTCTCACTTTTGAGTGAAGACCTGGGCATCGGGGTGAAGTGATGGCCAAAAGTATCCTTGCCAAATGACCTTATGTGCTAGTAAGCGAGCGCCTGAGTGGTTGCCGCAGATGCCCTCATGGATCTCCCGAAGAACATAATTACCTTCCTCTAGAGTCAGACACCGAAGGTAAGGGAGGTTGAAGCCACGATTGTATAAAGCGTCATTGATTATTAGGTATCGAGCGGAGCGATAGCGAACACGCCGTGCTTCAGCAGGATCAGCAGGTAGTGTTTGGTTTTGCAAGAACTGAAGGATTAGGTCCATCCATGAAGGGCTCTAATCAATGGTATAGATGAGTGGTGCTTGTGTGCTGGGCTGGTCCAGGAATTCAATGTGGATATTGCAGCCTATGCCATGTTCTAAGGCCGAGGCTAGCTTGGCCAAAGTATCAGCATGGTCATTCTTAGAGCGTGGCACTGGTTTATGATATAAGTGTCAAAAGTTGTCATCAGGTGGCGAGAGGCTAGCTTGGTAGTGAAGTCATGGTTGACTTGATAAACAACAAGCTGTGAGTCATTGAATATTTGAATTTGTTTAGTGCCCATCTCCTTGACAAGCCGAAGGCTAGCTAAGAGTGCTTCATGTTCAGCCACATTGTTGGAGGCATGGAATTGAAAGCGAATGGCGTACTCAAGGACGACTTTATCTAGGGAGATAAGGACGAGGTCGGCCCCACATCTCTGGGCATTGGAGGAGCCATCCATATATATGGTCTACAATGGCTGGGTCAAGCCGAGGGTACCATTGCTGGCGACGTTGACCAGGTTTGAGGGAAGAGTGGATTCGGTTATGATCTGGGGAACGGCCAAAGCTTGGGGTTTTGTAAATTCAGAAATGAAGTCTGCAACTTCTTGTCCCTTTGTAGCGGGGCGGGGTTTATAAAGAATATCAAATTTACCAAGCTCAATGGCCCACTTAACCAACCTACTAGAAGTCTCTGGCTTCTGCAATACTTGCCTTAGCGGTTGGTTGGTTAGGATATGAATGGTATGCGCTTGGAAGTATGATCTGAGGCGTCTGGCTGACACCACCATAGCAAAGACCAGCTTATCAATATCTAGGTACCGAACCTCAGTATCCTGTGAGGCTTTGCTAACATAGTGCATCGAATGTTCAGCACCTTCATATGGTCGGATGAGCACTGAGCTAATTGCCGTGGCCGAGAAGGAGAGGTAAATCGTGAGGATGTCTCCAGGCTCGAGGTTTACAATAAAAGGGTCCGGGTCATATACTCTTTGACATCGCTGAAAGCCTTATCACATTCGGCAGTCCAGGTGATGCTTCACTTGTTGCCCTTAAGCGCCTTGAAGAAGGGGGCGCAGCGATCAGTAGCCTTGGTTAGGGACGTGACGCGTCCGGTAAGGCTCTGGATGTCATTGACCATCTTCAGTACCTTCATGTTTAAGATGACCTAAATTTTTTATGGATTGGCTTCAATACCCCACTGGCTTATCATGAAGCCAAGGAATTTTCTGGAAGCCACGTCGAAGGCTTCGTGGGGTTGAGTCTCATTTTATACTACTTCAGGATTGTGAACATGGCAGATAAGTTAGGGATGTGCTGGTCAGCAGTACGACTTTTGACTAGCATGTCATCGACATAAACCTCCATAGTGTTGCCAATCAGTGGGGTAAATAGGTTGTTCACCAGACACTAATAAGTAGCATCGAGGTTCTTAAGGCCGAAGGGCATCACCTTGTAGCAGTAGAGGCCACGGTCGGTAATGAAGGATGTATGGGCTTGGTCATCAGAGTGAATGAAGATCTGGTTGTACCCAAAATAAGCATCCGCGAAGCTAAGGAGGGCATGACTTGCTGTGGCGTCAACAAGTTGGTCAATTCGAGATAGAGGGAAGCTATCTTTCAGACAAGCCCGATTAAGGTTGATGTAGTCTACACACATGCGCTAGCCTTTCTTTGGTTTGCGGATCATCACCGCATTGGCTAGTCATATGGGATAGTCCACCTCCTTGATGAATCCAATGTTGCTCAACTTATCCACCTCCGCCTTCATGGCCTCTTACCTCTCTGGGTCATAAGCACGACCTTTCTGTCGAGCGGGTTGGACGGCAGGATTAATGCTTAGTCGATGGGAAATGACACCGGGTGATATGCCAAGCATATCATTGTAAGATCAAGCGAAGACCTCGGAGTTGAGGCGAAGGCAGGGCGTCCGAGGATGACATTGTAGGCTATGGGACAATTAACGATGAGGAAGAGAGTGGTGACCGTTGCTCACTGGGGTGCTGAACCAATAGAGATAGGAAGATGGATACTTCTAATGGCAAGCGTCCCTGCTCAATGCTGAAGACCTGGTGCGCGTAGGAAGAGCGGACATAATGCTTGATGGAGTTATTAGAGGTTCCGGCCAATGTAAGACCATCACTGATGACAGAGATTATGTTGATTTGCCATTGGTGAGGTTAGGTGGAGGTGGGAAATTGTGCACATATTTGTCTAGCTTAACCCCGCGGATGAGGCCTTCAATGATGTTGCGTAAGGCAATGCAAGATTCGGTATCATGACCACTGAACTAGTGAAAAAGGCAGAAGACGCCTATGTTTGGCATAAGCTTGTTGGTTGGTCTCCAGGGGGGAGGCTTGGGTATGATGGGTGCCTTGTGAACCCGGTAATTCTCATAGGTGGTGTTGAGGGTGATGAATATCTCGAACCTAGGCTTGGGTGTGACCGAGTGGAGCACGATCATTTGTCCTTGAAGGGTTGCTTTCGTCGGATTGATGGTGGTTACCGTGTCTACCATGCTTGCTACTACTGAAGGTGTGCTATTAGCCATCCTTCCTTTTGGGGTGCTGGGTACCCTGGTTATTTGGAGCGAGGGCAGAATGTTGAGGTGGGGCTAGGGTGGGTGCTGAAGCAAGTGGGGGATCACCGAAGGTGCTCCATGATTCGGTGGCTGGGCCATGTTTTGAGTTAAAATACTTGGCCTTGGCGTCAATGGCTGCCTGCTTCATTAGCTCCGCATATGTGTTCCATGGGTTGCTGTGGACCAGGTAGCGGAAGTTAGACTTGCGAAGACCACTCTTGAAGGCTCCGAAGGCAGCTCGATCGTCAATATCCGGGCAACGGGAGTACTCGTGGCTGAATCGAGCTGCATACTCCCGAAGGAGTTCGTCCTCACCCTACTGAAGCATGTACTAGTTGTCGGCATAATACAAGCGACATGTCTGAATCATGAAATGGTCCAGGAAAGTTTCCTCAGACTGTCGAAGGAGTTGATAGTGCGGGGGTTCAACTGGTATAACTAGTTCAGAGCTGCGCCACTGAGGGTGAAAGGGAAAAAGAGGCACATGCCTTCGTCACTGAGGCCTTTGCATCCAAGGGTAGACTGGAAAGTGGATATGGGTGAGAGGATCCTTCGTGCAAGTGTAGAAGGCAATGCGGAGTGGCTGAATGTCCTTCTCCTGGTGGTAATTAAGGATACGCTTGGTAAAGGGCTCAGGGCGTGGCTTCTCCCAGAGGGCCTGATGGCTGCGGTGCTGCTCACTCTCCAGACGTCAGACCTTCTCGAAGAGGAGCCTCATGGTCGAGTCAGCATGAGAGAGAATACCGGGTGCTGAAGGCCTGGGGTGTGGGTGGGCAGGGGTTTGGTAAGTTTCCCACTCTTCGAAAGCTTCGTTATGGTAAGACTTCCAGTTCTCTGGACGGTAAGGTTCCCAGTCATCCAAGTCCCCTGCACCTTCTCCGGGGGGTAGGTGGGTGGGCTTCGGTGGGGGGCCTAGGTGTGCCAACCTCGGGTAGTTGAGGTTAACAAGGATAGGGATAGGATCTGGTTGAAGGTCCGAGAGACGGTCCCTGCAATCCCTCTAAATCTTGGTCGGTTCATGGGGCCGGTCCTTCGATGGGGAGATGCGAAGAAGCAGCAGCTTGGTCGTCTCCGGATGAAGGTGACCTTTGCCCTTGCCGAGCCTAGACTAGACTGGGGCGCTGTGATGGGAGATCATTGGCTAGTTCGGCTGTGTATGCTCAACATCCTGGGTAAGGTCCTGTTAGGCACCCTAGGGGTGAGTCCTCTACCAGTTACGCTTCAAAGCACGACAGTCATACTCCAGCTCAACATTCTTGGTATGGAGATATTCGTATTTCTTTGACATCTTGGCAACACTGGCGTGAAGGCGCTCCACTTCTGCCCGTAGATTGGCATCTGCCGAAGGTTTCTTTCGGGAGGTATCCCCGTGGGGGGTATGGTGCGTGACTAGCCTCGCTCGGCATAGCAAAATGTGGGGTGAAGAAGAGGCGACAAGGCCTGATAGGGGAAGGAGCCAACGGGGCTAGTATAGGGAAATGGGATTCAGAAGTCGACTCCCACAGATGGTGTCAAACTGTTGATGCTCTTTTTGGGACTTAGAGAGAAGAGTAGAGTTTTCGGCAGGGAAGAAGGTGAGGACCTTCAGAGTTGGAGGAACCTGCAGAAGATAAAGATGAAGAAGCAGTCGTCAAGCTTCGAACACTGGTGTGGTGCTTGCCGAAGGCTCTCCGATGCTTAAGTCAGCTATATGTGGTAATTTTGACAGAGTAACAGTAAATGTGAGAAAATAGTTACCCTTTTTACTCGAGTACTGTTCCCTATTTATAGGGAAGTTCAAATGGAAGTTTTGTATAAAGTTTCGATGTGGGACTTTGTGCAAATTGTTGTGGTGGTGACATATGTCATTGGAGATTAGGTTCAGCAGTCAAGAGATTCGGCAGGTGTCTAGCACTTCAGAAGAGTGTCTTCCTTGGGCAGGGAAGAAGACGTATTTGCCTTGGTGCTAGTCGTTTTGATGTTGGATATGCTCAGTTGATTATGGTGTAAATAGAAGTCATACTGGTTCTTATCTAGTGATAGTACTTTGATATTTATTTAGTGAAAGAAAACTAAAGGAATCTGACTGAATACCAATGAATCCAGGGAGCAATATCACCACCGAATTAACTATTTGAAAATAATCTAGTATGAATGGCTATTACAATGAAGATGGCAATAGATCTTGCTATCAAAAGATAAAAACGATATGAAATTAAGTAAAACAAATGATAAAAAAAAAGTAAACTAATTTGAAGAATTGTCAATTCGTACTGTGTGGAATAAATAAAATCAAGAAACATATTTGAAATTGATCGTAAACTGAAAATCATACCAGCACAAGTTTCACAGTAGCGGACAATTGGAAATCTCAAGAACAAAGGCTGAATGTTGTTTGCAATGAAAGAAATCTGCTTCAAATTAGTTGTGTGTCTGGTCCTCAACTAATCCTTTCACTAGTTTATATACTTGTCAAAACCCTAAATTGCATAGAAATCCAACTTCTTGACGGCTAAGATACATTGGCATGCACGAACTCTGACTTTACAAGAATTCCTTACCAAAAACCTTTGTTCTTTTTCATTTTTTATGAAGCCAGTGTAATTTTTTAGACGAGAACTTGCATTTAAAACTAAATTCTTCTAAACAAGGTTATTCCTGTGCAAAACATAAATTGAGGCGCTCATATAATCTAACATGAAATACATAAAAAGAGAAAAAGAAAAAAAAACCATGAATTGATGTCATCAAACAAATTTTTAATAACTAAAGTTCATTATCAATCATGCAAAGATAATTACAAATTAAATGCATAAAAGTGTATTTGCGACTATAAAAGTGATGAGCACAACTATCCTTCGTGAAGACATGCGTAGTCTAGTGGTAAGGTGTCGTAATATTGTTTGATTGGTGATGGGTTTGATGCTTCTTAGGGAAATTTGATGGATAAAGTTTTGTTAATTCGAATAAAATTAGTAAAGAAAAGGCCAACAAACACACAAGTAGGAATCGAACAGATTACCTCCAATCATGATAGGAGTGCTCACAATATATCCAACGAGACGAGCCAATGGTCCTTAATCTCATATGGAAAACGTAAGCCCGGCCCAATTACCATTAACCAATCATAGTCCAATAACCAAGGAAAATAAATAAGAAATAAACCGTTCATTTTAATGCATTTCTCAATAAGTTTGACCTCGAAATATATATATATATATAATGTTTACAAATTAAATCACAAAACTACAAGCAATTAAGCACCATTATCTTGGTTAATCGAACGTTAAAAGTTGAGCCCATTTGTGAACAAACCAGAAAAGAAAGCACGACAAAAAGAGCAACCCTTTTAATGTAACAATTAATAAATTTAAATTTTATTTTCTAATGACCGTTGGGTCTCTCGCATGTTGCCACGTGTAAAATGTCAGAGGAGGACGTTATAAAGAACATGTTGAAACGCCTGGGTGCAGAATTAATAACACGTAGACAATTTCCAGCAGTGATTTTTAAGTAAGGGTAAATCCCTTCACCATTTTTGCATGTCCTACAACGGTCACCTTCTCCTCAGCCTCTCTATATATATCCTGACAAATTAGCCACAGGTAACACTCACCAAATCCCATCTCTCTAGATCTCACTAAATCTCTCTCTCTCTCTCTCTCTCTCTCAATATAGCTAGCTATACCTGTGTTTTTAGAGGTTTAATTTTGTGGGTTTGATTAGATTTGTTCAGAAATGGCGTCTAAGAGACTAATTGTGAGCACGTTGCTTGTTATTTTGATGTTGGGATTGGCTAGTAGCTCTCCTCAAGCTTACAAGTTCATTGTGGGTGGCAAAGATGGTTGGATTTTGAGCCCTTCCGAGAACTTCAATCACTGGGCTGAGAGACACAGGTTTCAGGTCAATGATACGCTTCGTAAGCATCTCTCTCTCTCTCTCTCTAGTTTTTTAATTTTTTTATTAATACAAGCAATTGTCTAAACGAAAGGGAGTTTCACACACACACACACCACTGGTCTACAAGTCAAGGTCGTTTTCCACTGAGTTAGACCATGTTGACTTTCTCTCTAGACTTAGTGTAATATAATTAAGCTACTTTTCTTTTTGGTTTATTTTTTGGTGCTATGTATTATGTGTATGCAGTTTTCAAGTACAAAAAAGGATCAGATTCTGTGTTGGTGGTAACAAAAGAGGATTATTTCTCATGCAACACAAAAACCCCAAAACAGTCCCTAACAGATGGTGACTCAATTTTCAAGTTTGAACGGTCAGGTCCATTTTTCTTCATCAGTGGCAATGCCGAAAATTGCCAAAAAGGGCAGAAGCTGATAGTGGTGGTTTTGGCCGTCAGAAGCAAAACCCAACGTACGCCACCCTCTCAGGCCCCTCCTTCTCCATCTTCATCAGCTCCATCTCCCCTTGTGGCTGATCCTCCTGCAGTCTCACCGTCTCCGCTGTCGGATTTGGACACAAATGCACCGGCACAGCCTCCGCTACCGCGGGAGAATTCAGCAGCTAGAGGATCAGACGTTGGGTTAATGGTTTTTATTTGTACTGTTATGAGTATTGGTGCAAGTACTGCGGTTTTGGGTAACTTTGTGGTTTGAGAAAGACAAAAAATTAAATGAGAGGAGGGGTTTAATATTGTGTTTGTGGTGTTTGTTTAGAGACTTTTAATTTTACCACATTACTGTATTTCTTTTGAATTTTACCTTATAAAATTTCTAGCATTAATCTCACTCGTATCTCTAATTTGTAACGGAAACTCCTACTCCCTTCTTAAACTTAGAGCATCCATAATGGACTCCTTAAACTATATCATTAGATAAAGAAATAAATTATTAATGATTCCCTAAACTAGGGAGCATGGTTAGAGTTGAAATTTTATAAGGAGCTCCTAAAATAGTTTTCTAGTATTTTTAGTTAAATTGTAACTAAAAAATTATTCTTTTTCAATGATAAATGTTAACTAAAAAGTATTGAAAAATTACTTTCTAGTGCTTTATGTAATAATATTATAGCTTAACAATGATAAATATACCTAATAAAAATTATTCTTTTTGCCTAAAAAGCATTTATTAGGTAATTGTCAGTTGGAAAGTTATGGCGGGGATACATGCCAAAAATTACCTATATTTTTACTTATTTCATCCCTATTCATTAATGAAATGCTATCGCCTTTGTCTCAAAAAAATATTCTCCTTTGGAAGTGTTTTTTTATTAATATTTACAAACAAAAAATTCATTTTCTGGTTAATAATATTGATTTTTAATAATAATATTTAATGTTAAAAAAACTGTGCATATATGGTAATATTTAATGTTAATAATATTGATTTTTAATAATAATATTTAATAATAATATTTAATGTTGCACTTGACTTTAGATACACACGTACATATGCAATACCCCCTTGAAGTTATTTGGGTCTCTTAGAGATCCTTTAGATATTTTAGTGTTTTAATTTTTGGGTTATTGATTCCAGGCTTATGGTGCTGAAAATCAGTTCAAAATTTGAAGTGAGGCGATTTTGCCGTACAACGGGTGCTGTCGCAATGGTAATTTTAATAGAATTTGAAATTTTATGAGAACTGTATTGAATGCTTCCTAATATTCTTTTATGTTTGCAATAGTTGAAGCTTTGCCAGCCTAACCCAGATGATCTGGGATATGTGACTCTGTCTCGGTCGAGGAAATTGCTGGTGTTAGGGTATGTTAAAAATATTTCCATGGACATCAGTGTTTTCAGAGGCAAGGTGTTGGCGAGAGGCATTACATGTCTTGCAGAATGTGGCATAAGCCTTTTGAGACACATTAGTTTTATTGAAAAATCTATATACTATATAAAAGAATTAAAATGACAATTTATCCAGTCCTGGTGAAAAGGTATTGCTTCGTACTTCCATCAATTTCTGTCTCAAATCTTATGTAGTGTATAACTACTTATAGCAGAACCATAAGTATAACTACTTCTAGCAGAACCAATAAAAAAAGGCTTTGTGAACAAGAAACAATTAATTGACTGGTGCAGAATGTGGATTGGAGAGAGGCTGGCGCTGCAACATGTCAAATCTCTTTTCTCAAAAGAGGCAAGTTCAACTTGATTGAATCTATGAGTTGTCAACATGTAATTCATATAAGTGCTGGCAATTTTTATATTTTGTTTTCTTTCTAACCAGTACACTGATTGGATCAACATTTAGGTCATTGATGTAATTGCAGCCAACACGAATGACATGGGGCCTTTGAGCCTTGATTTCTTCAGAAAAAACAATTTGTCAGCTTCATGGAAAGTCATTGGGGAAAAGACTTCAATTACAGATAAGGTTAGTACGTCTGTTATATTTCTTCTTGATTTTTTAACCATCCCTGATAAATCTTGTGTGCTACTGCTGCAAAAATGTCATCAGTTTGTTGCTGCTGATTGTTTGCGTTTTGGATTGTCTGTGTATAAAGATAAATTTTACAGCTGTAGATACTAGACAAGAGACACCTAAGGTTAAAGTGGATGTATCTTCAGGTGGTAATATCTTTTCAACATTACTTTCCTTTGTCCGTAAAACATTTCTGCTTTCTTTTTTATTTTATTATCATTTGCAGGTGATCATGCTCAACTTGTTGATCCTGCAAAACTAGCCCGACGGGTAATTATCATACTCCAATGTGCTCTATGTTGGGTTGTTTGTTTGTTTTTTTTTTTTTTTTTTTTTTTTTTTTTTTTTTTTTTTTTTTTTATACGTTGTTTTTGCTTGCTTGCTTGTCTAATCAAAAGTTGTGTGCATGGAAATAAAAATGAAAATATAAATGTAAAACACAAGGTTATGTTTACTTGGGTATGCTCCTGTTTATTATTTTTTCAAGGATAATAAGCAAGTATAAAACAGTGATTTACATAGTATTTTGTCGATAAATTTGCTTATTCTTGGCCCATTTGTTTTCCCCTATTTCTTTTTAACATGTCCAATGATTTGTGTAGGTCACTGTTGTGAAGAACGAAGAAGGTGGTAACTCTGTATCTACTGTACTTCTACGAGGGAGTATTGACAGTATATTAGATGACCTGGAAAGAGCAGTTGATGACAAATTGAACACCTACAAGGTAATTTACAAGGAACATTCAGAATTTTGTATGTTCTTGTTAGGCTGGTTTTGTTTTACCTCTTCAATCATTGTTAGCATATGGTTCTCTGGAACTTTTGAATAAATTGTTTAATCAGATGTCCAAACCGTTGGAATTAGTATGCTATAGCCTACTAAAGAAACAATGGTTTTGCATATTGGATCAGTATGCTATAGCAAAATTTGCCGAAAGCTTTGAGATGGTGCCTCAAACGCTAGTTGAAAATGCTGGGCTTAATGCAATGGAGATCATATCTTCTCTATATGCTGAACATGCATCAGGAAATACCAAAGTTGGCCTCGACTTGGAGGAAGGCCGTTGCAAAGATGTGTCAACTCTTAATATTTGAGACCTCCACATAACTAAGTAAGCTGCTCTTTGTCTTGTAATAGTTCATGCTTTTATGTGAAAGTTCTCAATACATTGAATGTTGTTACAGCTGTGATGTTTGATGCAATTTTGGTTCTGAACTTTTTATTAATTTGGATATAGAATTTGTTTGTAGAGGAGGCTTTTATTAGTAATCCCATTTTTGGTGGTTTTGATAGCCAATTAGTTCCTGTTGCGTACATTAATGGTTCATCTTATTGGTATCCTTTCTGTTGATTTTCTGTATCAAACTGTGACTTACTGGCATGGGTGTTTTGAGGATTGCGGTGCATTTTGAAGTCCATTGGCCGGCTAATAGGGCTAGGAGGTTATGCATACATGATGTATAAAATTTAGTTCATAATTTGGTGGTCTAACAACTACATCTTTGTGCTGAAAGCCTTTATTCACCATGGGACCCAGTCATTCAATTATTTTCTTTATTATATTTCATTTGTGTAAATAGTTAAGCCACATATCCACTACGAAAGGTTTCTTATCTTTCTTTTTTCAGTAAATGGTTTGTTTCTAGAGGATAACAGAGTGACAATGCCAACCTTTTCATTTTTTATTTGTTTTACAAATAGTATTGATGGTTTGCATTTAGGATTTTTACAAATTATAGCATTCGGGAATAAGTGAGGATTTCTTTGGATAACTGATAAATAGTAACTTGGAAACATCTCGACTTCAAACATTTTGGGTATTTTATGAACTTTAGATAGTTCTGTTTCATTAATTTATTGAAATCAATATGTTTAAGCTGGCCAGGAAGTTGTTTCATATGAGATATAGGTATCAATCTTCTTTCTTGGGCTGTTTGTTACAGGTTCTTTGCTCTCAAGTATGCTGCAGATGCTACCTGCATTGTTCTACGGGTAGATCAGATAACTAGTAACTACGTATTTGTCAATGGTTTTCCTAATTTTGAAGTGCCCAAATTTGGTATGAACTACATCTTTGAATCCCTGATTGCATCTTTGAGGCCAAAGTAGAAAAAATGCTAAACTACATACAATTTAAAAATAAAAATAAAAGTCGAGGCTTTATGAATTAGTTGACTATTCTTTTTATTTATTTATTTAATTTTATACTTTTATACTTTTGTAAAGTCTTTTTCTCTTTTTTTTTTCAAAGTTCCCCTAACTTGGCACAGATGCATGTATGCACTTGTGTACTCAGAACACAAATTCCTTTATAACTGAAAAGAACGGTCGCAAATGTTAGTTTTTAACTTGGAAAAATAAAATAAAATTGAAAGTTACTTTTGGGAAATGTTGAACTTTTATAATGAATATGGCTTCAATGCAGAATGCTTGATAGTAAATAGAAAATCTATATGCTAGGGGTTTTCTGGCTAGCTAAAAATGTGTGAGAAATGATGAATCTATCTGATTGCAGCCTATTTAATGTTTAATACCTTCATTAAAAAAAGGTTGTTGACAGTGCTTTGACTATCTTGTAGATTATTAATGCTGTGGTTAAAGTATTGGAGTTGGTTTTGACTATCTTGTAGAATATGGCTTCAATTTTCTGGTTTCATCGCTTGGAATCAAGGCTGGAAATTGGTATGGATGTGAAGAGGAGAGAGATAAAGAGTTTGAAAATTCATGAGGAGGGGAGAGAGGCAAATTCGTGAGGGAGAGAGAGAAAGGAAATAAGATTTTTTTAAATCCAACTTTGAAATATTTACGATTATGCCACTAGACTTCCATAGATCATAACTTCTTCGTTATAACTCCAATTTAAGCCCACTAGGTGTCTACGAACTCATAACAACGCAATCTACACAATAGTATTATTCATTTCCCCAAAATTCTTCTGGATTAACAAGTGACCAAAATAACCTTATCCTTGAGGGCAAAATTGTAATTTCATAAATAAATAAATTAATAATTAAATTAAATTAATAATTAAAATTGGGTCAGGATGTTACAGTTCCCTTGCCGAACATAAGCATAGTACATAAATGTTTAAAAGATGGAGGCAAGGATCTTAACAACATCACTGCTTTGTCTTCTGACTTATAAACGTCATACATTCTTTGCAAATCAGTAATACACCTACTAAAGGCACTGACTTGCTTCTTCATGTTTGCGCCCTCTTCCATCTTTAGAGAATGGACCTCCTCCTTCGAGAAGAGCTTGTTGGATAACGATCTTGATGCAAACAACTCTTCAAGCTTCTCTTATGTCTACTTTGCTGTATCTTCTATTGCATTACACAACACTCCGTCAGTGAGGTGTTGTTCGATAAATCCTCTAGCAAGCTCATTTTGGTCTTCCCATTTTGCATATGTCATGGTGTTCGGCTTCTTCTTGCCTACCAAAACGAAGCTGAGACCTTTCTGCTTAAAGACATGCTTCATCCTCCTTTGCCCAAGCGTGAAGTTCTCGTTGCCAGTTAACAACTTCAACTCGACCTTTGTACTCGACACATGTTGTGGGGTCTTCATTTGGGAGCTTTCTCCCACCGTCTCCATGTCCCCTACCATCGTCAACACACCACCGCTCTTAAAATTGTAAGAGCATACTTGGGCACAAACCAATACCTCCCACAACCGTGTGGCTCTAATACAACTTGTTGTGCTAAAACACTCCAAGACCTTGTCGTTGATGGACTATGCAATGACACACACAAAAATCACTTGAGAATAAAACACAGACACCAAAGAGAGAAAACAAACACACGCAAGAACACCGGCATCGTGTCTATATCCTCTTGGTGATCCACCCGAGAAATTCACTAGTATGTAAAGACAACTTTGGTTACAATCAAGAACCCCATTGGTCTCACAAGAATACTAGCTCTATTTTCTCTCACTTTTGCTCAAACCTTGATGCACTTGAAAAACACCCTAGAATTCCCCTTTGAATTCTCTTGTGTCTCTCTCTTAAAAATTCTCTCTTGAATTTTCCTCTCTCTTGATTTTAACCTAGCCCTAAAAGTCCTATTTATAATGCATAAGACTTTTGCTACAAGTTAACTAGGAATAGGAAACTAAAACTTAGGAAAAACCAAGTCAAATATGCCAAGGATTCGCGCTGGATTCGCGACTTCCGCTTGAGCGCTTGTAGCTTCTGTTCAAGGGCCAAAACCCAGAGTACTGGTATGAAACTCCTTTTTCTGCCATTTCTTCTTCCTCCTTTCACATATATGGTGAGTCAACTTCAACAGAAACAGGATAACCCCATGCTACTCAATTCGTTGAAATAGACTGACAAATGAATGCAGTAGTCCGAATTTTGAGGTATTTGAAGTCTGCACCAGGAAAATGTTTGTTGTTTTTAGAGCATAGGCATGCAAAGGTTGTGGGGGTATACAGATTCAAACTGGGAAGGAAAAGGGATAAGAGGAGATCAACGTCTGGTTATTTCACGTTTATGAGGTAACTTGCCATGGTTAAAAAGGCTTATAAGGGAGCTGAGTTTTCCTATTGAGGATGCTATGAAACTGTATTGTAATAAGCAGTCAGCAATTAAGATTGTTGATAATCCAGTTCAGCATGATAGAACGAAACATGTAGAGATTGATCGGAACTTTATTTATGAGAAACTGGAAGGGAAGATTATTGAAGTTCCATACGTTAAGACTACTGAACACTTGGCGGATATGTTGACCAAGGCTATATCAAATCACGCCATTACAGATTCACTTGTGAAGTTGAGCATGTGCGATATCTATGCACCATCTTGAGGGAGAGTGTTAGTGTGAATCACGAATTATAATTATTACCTTTATTATAATTGATTTGTAATTATAGGAATATCGGTTTGATCGGGATTGTATTTTTTTCTTTTTTCCTTATTGTGTTTATTTTCTAGATAGGCTTGTATTTCTATCACTATAAATGCCTCCTTGTGAGAAGAATAGAATCATACTGAATTATTCAGAACCCTAATTCTATTTGAGTCAACAATAAAGATGCACTCCTTTGGTGGCAACCCGAGATTAATTGAGTATAATACTTTTATATATGCAGATATCGACTTAAATTACTTTTTTATATTGTAATTTATAATTATGATGTAGGGCTCTACTTTTATGCATGGTAAAAAAACTTATACATGAATCATCGAAGGATATGAAGAGTCATGATGTAGTTGGAAACAGGATGAAGATAATTAATATTGAGAATAAATTGATCCATTGTAAAGAACAACAACAAAGCTCCTTGATTTAAGAGACTTCAAAATTATGTTGTGGGATCTATTTTGTCGTATTATGGGACGAGGAAGGAAGCATCTGTCATATTAGCTTCTCTGAAGATATGTCCCTTTAGAATGCTTTATTTTTTAGAATGCTCTACATTATCCTTCTCCAAGAAGATAAGATTTCATAAAAACGCAAAGAGGAGAGAGAGAGATCAGAAAAAGAGAGAGAATAATTTTTTTAAAATATTATTTTTCAAGAACTTTGTTTTATTATTTTTCAGCATAAAAGTAACTATCCCACTTGCCATGTCACCAATTTAACATAAAATTAAACAATGAAGTTGACGTAGAACGTAATTTGATTAGATTTATAAAAAATCTTTAATCCTAACAAATTTTATTGTCCTCCACTGGGTCGAAAAACCTCCCAATATCTCTCAAAGCTTCTATTGGTGTTATGATTGCCTCAATATCAAATTAAGGGCATCTAAATTGAGCATAAAGAAAGCTAAAGTTATAAAAATAAAATAATCAGAGTATGAAAAGTACCACTGAATATTGGGAGTAAAATTATATTTGCTCTTCTAGTGTTTATACTGATAGAACTCACTAACACTCAGATTTCACACTCTCTCTTCTTTCTTCTTACTCTTCCTTTCTTTCCTCTCTTTTCCGTTAATGGGAAGCCTATTTATAGGAAAATTAGATGGCTTCCCATGGACTTCATTACCCAACATCATCATTAAGCTTTTCTTTATGCGGGCTCCACCACTTTCTTTACAACACTCCCCCTTGGGGACCATATGTCCCTAGATTGGTTGCCTCATTAAGACCTTGCTTGGAAAAACTTAGTGAGAAAAAACCTAAGCGAAGGAAAAAGAGTGCAACTTTGTTTGGGACATAAGGGTAACGTTAAATGCGCTCATGTTGCCTTGTTAAAACCTTGTTAGGAAGAACCCAGTGGGAAAAACCCTAGTCGAAGGAAAAAGAGTACAACTCGCATATGTCATGTGTTAGAGGACTCTTGAATGCTCCTCTAGATTTTGCATGCTCCAATTTGATTGCTTGCAGAGTTGACGTAATCCGATGCCATGCACTAGCTTTTGGAATGTACATTTTGGCAAAGATTTGGTGAAGAGATCTGCCAGGTTATTGCTTGAACGGATTTGTCTGACTTTAATTTCTTGACTCTTCTGAGGCTCATGTGTGTACAAAAACTTTGGTGATATGTGCTTGGTCTTGTCATCCTTAATGTATCCTCCTGTGATATGAGCAATACAAGCTATATTGTCCTCATTTAGGATGGTTGGAGTGTCCGTTGCTGAGGGTAGGGCACATGCGCTTCGGATGTGATGGATCACCAACCTTAACCAAACACATTCATGACTGGCTTCATGAAGGGCAAGTATTTTTGAGTGATTGAAAGATATGGCTACCAACGTTTGTTTCGCTGAGCGCCATGAGATTACAGTTCCTCCACATGCAAACACATACCCAGTTTGTGAGCATCCTTGATGTGGATCAGAGAGGTATCCTACATCAGCATATCCAACAATACTCGGAGCATTGGTCGATTCACTGGAATAGAATAAGCCCATGTCTGTTGTCGCACGAAGATATCGTAGAATATGTTTAATGCCAGTCCAATGTTGGCTTGTTGGAGCAGAGCTGTATCTTGTTAACAAATTCACTGAGAAAGCTATGTCTGGTCTGGTACATTGTGCTAAGTACAATAAAGCACCTATCACACTAAGATATGGTAATTCTGAGGCAAGAACCATTTCATCATCCCTTTTTGGACGATATGGATCTTTCTTAGTGTCAAGTGACAGAACGACCATTGGAGTGCTAAGTGGATGGGCTTTATCCATGCCAAACTGCTTCAATACTTTTTCAGTATAAGTTGATTGATGCACCAAAATTCCATTAGCACTGTGCTCAATTTGTAAGCCAAGTCAATATTTTTTCTTTCCAAGGTCTTTCATCTCAAACTCAGTTTTTTGGAGCTCTTCAAGAGTTCCAATTAGATTCATGTCGTCGACATATACTGCCACTGTCGCAAATCCAGACTCTCATTTCGTAATAAACACACATGGGCAAATATTAACATTTGTGTATCCTTTCTTTAGTAAATACTTACTGAGATTATTGTACCACATTCGCCCATATTGTTTTAGCCCATATAATGATCTTCTCAATTTGATTGAGAACATGCCCCATGGTTTGTTCCTGGCTGCTTCAGGCAGTTTAAGTCCTTCTGGGACTTTCATGTATAAATCTGTATCCAATTCTTCATTCAAAATATGCGGTAATGACATCCATAAGTCTCGTTTCAAGTTTTTATGAAACCACCAAACTTATTAAGTAACAGAATGTAATTGCGTCCATTACTGGAGAGTATGTTTCCACATAATCAATTCCAGGACTTTGTGAAAAACCTTGCACAACAAGTCGCGCTTTATACCTTGCGATCTCATTTTCCTCATTGAGCTTTCTTGTAAATACCCACTTGTAACCTATAGGGTTCACATTGGGTGGAGTTAGTCCAAAAACACTCCTTTTTTTCCAAAGAATTCAATTCTGCTTGGATTCCATCTTTCAATTTAGGCTAGTCTTGCCTCTGTGTGCATTTATCAATAGAGCACGACTTAATATCATCATCTTTTATGATCTCAGTTGCCACTGAGAATGCAAATATATCATCAATGATCATCTCAGGGCATTTGAATTATGAATTGTGGGCTCTCCATTTATTTCAATTGGATTCATTTTTGCCATCGACTTCCTCTGTTGAGGGACTGAGTCCTTTGTGCCTAGTGGTCTGCCACGCTTCAGCCGTGCAACAAATGAATCATTTGCTGGCACATTCTTTTGTCCATTATGGACATCAATCCTTGCAGTTGGGATATGTGATTTCGTCACCTTTGTTGCATCATTAAATGCATTTGGCATCTGATTTGCAATACTTTGGAGGTGAACGATCCTTCTCACTTCGTTTTCGCAGTCAGTGGTACGAGGATCGAGATGAGACAAAGTGGGTACATCCCATGATAATTCACGTCGTTCTTCAGGAACGAGTTTGCCTTGTTCTTCTTTATGAATAGATTTTTCTCCCCCCAATAGTGGGAAAATTGTCTCATCAAAATGACAATCTGCAAACCGTGCAGTAAAGATATCACTCGTCAGGGGCTCCAGATATCTGATGAATCAAATGTTAGAAATATGCCCTTAAAGCAAACTATTTATGTAATAGTTAGAGTTAAGGACATCTTTGATAAAAGACGTATTATGTTATCAATGGGCAAGAAAGGTTGTTTTATACATTAAATCATCCTACATTATCTTTCAATATGTAGAACAACCATGAATATTAGAGCTATGTAATGAGATTGCATACATGGAGACTTCTCATCACCCCTAAATCCTGAATATGTTCCTGGTCATAGGAATATTGATTGGGCGTCAATATTTCGCAAAGACCAATATACACAGTATCGTCTCTATATGTAGGGAATGACAAGATCTCAAGTCATTAAGTGTGGAGATACATTGATATGTGTGTAGGTGCTTGTAAAGAACAAGTAAACTGAACAGGATCCGATACATGAGTTACAGCATGGAAGTCTTTACCCACATGTCAAGCTTGAACTAATCCTTAGACCTGAGGCATGATAGATTTTGTGTGTGTCTATGTTGTTAATCTTTGAGGGTACTATACAATTATGCTAAATTGGGCATAGCTTAAAGGTGCTCATCAGGATTCTTAATAGAGTCATGGAAGCAAATGAATGTACAACAATGAATCTCTACTTTCAATAAAGGAGAGAGAATGCTCCAAGATATGATTGGTCAAATCTCTACGTAGAGTAGTGTATAAGACTTGAAAGAAGAAGTCTTCAAATCTTACCAGGATAATCATATAAAAGGATTATTCACATTAGGATATTGACAATTGGATTCCATGATCTAATAATGTGAATAAGGAGTATTGACTAAGGCTGGTCACGGTACGGGATGACACATGATGGAGGTCATCCCAATGTCAATCCTAGATAGGGTAATCAGGTTGGGATGACACGGGATGAGAGTTTTTGAAAACACGTTCAAACCATACTGGACCCAAACAGGATGGGTATGATTCGGTATCAATGTTGATACCGTAAAAAATCTACAAAATTGTAATAGAAAATATGTTTTCCTAACATTTGTTTGAAACAAACTGTTAGAATGAACATCATCCCTATAAAAACTTATAAAAAAGAACATATGCAACAAAAATGTGAATAATCAATTGAAAATAAATAGAAGATGACATACAAAAATGAAATCACACATTGCTGTGCTCACATAGCATTTTCTAGAAATCCTTGAAAACTGTTGGTACTTCCAAGTTCCAACTCTCTATTTTCCTGAAATTCTTCTCACCCACTATTCCATAAGGGAACCCAAAAAAAGTAGAATCAATTTTCTATACTTGGGTTAGTTTGTTGTCATGCAGCCTTGTAATATTTGAAGGGTTGGGTCCATTTTTACCTGGTCTCTGTTTTTTCTTTTCTTTAGCCATTTCCTTTTTCTTTTTTTAAATAAATGTTATTGATTCAAATGGATAGAGATAGAAAACTAAAAGGGGGGGGGGAGGGAGAGAGAGAGAGAGAGAGAGAGAGAGAGAGAGAGGGCAAGGAAGAGAAATAAGGGAGGTTCTTGTGAAGGAGAGGATTTGATCTTTCCTTTTCGCGTTGAATTCTCTTATAGCTTTTTTGTGTGACACACACATATACACACACTAGGTGAGAGGGAAAGCAAAATAAAGAAAGAGAAAAAGGAGAACAAGAAGAAGAAAAAGAAAGAAACAGGAAGAGGATCTGATCTTTCCTTTTCGTGTTGAATTCTCTTAATAGTTAAATTATAATTAAAAGATTAATTATGGAATTAATATTGACATACAGAAATATTGGATTGGGCTTTTAAATATGATTTAAAAGGAAATAGACAAAATAGCCCAAAAAGCTAGTGGGCCCAAGGGATAAGTGACTTAAGATGACATGACACATGGACCAAATGGAGCCCCAAATACCCACCCAATTGCCTTTTGTGTTGTCCTATAAAAGCTAAGTGTTGGAGAAAACCTAGCTAGGGTTTTTGGTTCCCTACTTTGGTTGATGACTGATCATCTTCGTATCTCGTCCTCCATAAACCAAAAATTGGTCCAAAGTAGACTAGCATCCATACTTCTTGATTGCCTTCTCATCCAATCAAAAAACCCTTTTTGATTAGATAGGTTGATTTCTTGATCTTGCTGAATCGTGAGATAAAAAGACCCCTCTTATTGATTTTATCAATTATTTGATAGTCTTCATCTCTAAGAGCATTTGATGTGGTGAGGTAGAGAATTCCAATCTTGGAGTCTTAAGGTGAAGGAGTCAAAATCAAGAGAAACAAAAGGCATTTTCAACAAAGGTGTTCATTCTTGAGAAATCAAGAAAAGGTCATTAAGGGTAAAGATCTATTTCCTTTTTCCCCTTTCTATTTGTGTTCAAAAGACTAGGCTAAGATACATGGTTTAAAATAAAAAAAGGTTTAGCTCAACTAGTATAAACAAAATGAATCTACCATTTAGAATGTTTTTGTTGTATAGGTTGTGGCTAAAGTTCATTTCCTAAGCATTAGAAGCATGTTTGGTTGATTACCCAACACGAGTTTTATTGGAGAATATTGATTGTTGGCAACGGGCCTCAACCGCACAAGTGATGCCGCATGTAAAATGGCATGTCCCCAACCAGAAATTGGCAACTTTGTCTTCATTAGCAAAGTACGAGCTATCAATTGAAGACGCTTAATTAAAGCTTCTGCCAAGCCATTTTGAGTATGAACATGAGGAACAGGATGTTCAATGTCAATGCTTAATGACATGCAGTAGTCATCAAAAGTCTGAGATGTAAATTCACCAGCATTATCGAGTCTGATTGACTTAATGGGATAATCTGGGAATTGGACTCGTAATTTAATTATATGAGCCAAGAGCCTAGCAAATGCCATATTCCGAGTGGACAAAAGGCAAACATGTGACCATCGGGTAGATGTATCAACCAAGACCATAAAGTACCGAAATGGTCCACGGGGAGGATGAATAGGCTCACAAATGTCCCCTTGGATTCTCTGTAAAAAATGATGGGGATTCAACACCAAGCTTTGGTTGTGATGGTCTGATCATCAACCTCCCCTGTGAACAAGCTTGGCAAGAGCTGTCACTTGATAACATAATGTATTTTGTCAACAAGGGATATCCTTTAGAGTTGGTGATGATCCAACGCATCATGGTGGATCCAGGATGACCCAACTGGTCATGCCAAAGCTTAAAAGTATTTGAGTCAATGAACTTCCAGTCCATGACATTATGTGCTTCAATTTTCCATATGGTTGTATAGTACAACCCTCATGAGAGTGGACAAAGCTTCTCTAGTATACGCTTCTGGGTATCACTGGAGGTAATGCAAAGGTATTCCATATTTTTCTCATTTTGTGTTTCAACATGGTAGCCATTCAAACGTATATCTTTGAAACTCAACAGATTCCTTCTGGAGTTAGATGAATACAGGGCTTCTTGAATGGGAAATATTGTTCCATTTGGTAACATAACTTGGGCTGTTCTTGAGCCTTCAATCAGATCTATAGGACCTGATATGGTTGTTACCTTTGCTTTTGTAAGAATCAAGTTTGAGAAATACTTTCAATTTCGAAGGATCGTATGAGTAATCGCACTGTCTGCAAGACAAATATCTTTGCTAGAGCTCTTGTTTTGGGAGCATCCATAATTTATATCCATGCCTTCAAATAAATAAAATAAGCTGAATCAATAAACAATCATTCAATGTAAAAAAAAACACTGCCATTTTTGTTGGATTGAAATGAAAATTAAAAACAGTACTTCAGATAATACAAATGTTACATAAAGGAATTTAGTCTAATTCGGACCCATAAACTTCATTCCCTCTTTCAATAACAAAATCAGAAACATCCAGATATGTCATGTCTAACTAACGTGATATTTCCTATGGGCCATCTGTGGCTAGCTGATCTGGTATAACATGATCAATGTAATTTGTCTCAACTTTCCTATTCTTAAGTGAAGATTGATAAAGATCCGCCAAATGCTTCGGCGTACAGCATGTACGCGCCCAATGTCCCTTTGAGCCACATCTGTGACAAACGCCTTTAGCATTTCTAAGCACATGGCTTGTCTGTGCTTTCCCCTTATTTCGAGATGCATTTTTACCGCTCATAGATGGATTGCTCCTTGTAGGGGACTTTTTCTTCCTGCAGCTAACGGGCTGGGCTGCTGCAAAAGGCGAATTGAGGAGATTGCCCCTTTTTGTTTAGGTTCGAAAATTAAGCCCCAAAATACCTCGAAAGGGCAGCGAAACCTTAGGAGATATTTTGGATAATCTTCACCAATGAGAATAATAGTGACTTGCAGATAGTTTTGGCATGCTTACAGATGGTTTTTTAGCTCAGCATGAGTGGCATGAGGCATGGGGAGCAAAACCAACATGGGTTTAGCACTAAGAGAGAAATTAGACTGGGTTTATGAGAAATGAAAGTGTTTAAGTAAGGAATGAGGTGTTTTGTGAGGAATTTTGACTAGAGAAAGAGAAAAAAAGAAAGGCAGGGTTCTTCCGGCAGCTGCCAGAAAAACAAATTGGAGAAGAAGATGAACAGTGCACGAGTCTAAGTTTTGCAAGATAGAGAGAAAAGCTTGCTCTCTGCAGGTTGTGAGTTGAGTTTGTTGGGTAGGGGAAGGCTCAATTTATAGCTGCCGGAAATCACCATTTTTCAAGAAACCCTAATGGCTTCTACTTACTTTGGCTGAGCTTTTCTTCCTTTCTCCTCCCCTTCTCTGACTTCCCTTTCTTGGCAAAGATTGCTTTTGTCTATTTTCATGAATTCAGGGGATTTGGGGGCTCAACATCCTCCTTTCCCGCGGCTGTGCAATGAGAGCTTCCACTCTTGGTTTGCTGTTTTTTCTTCTTTTCTTTCCTCTTCCTTGGCTGAATCTGATGAAGGAAAAGAGGTGCAAATGTATGCTGGTCCAAGGGATGCTTCTGACAGCATGCGGGATGGTATTCATCGGTTCTTTGGATGTCTCTGGCTTGGGACTGGTTTCCAGCAGCTTTGCTTAAGGAGCCTGCCATCTACCCCTTCACGTGTTCTCTGTTTTTCAAAAGAGCTGAAGCTCTTGTGGGCTATTTTGGGTTTTTCTAAGGGCCAAGATGGCTTTCTAAGCAAATGGGCTTGTTGGGCTTCTTGATTTGGGCTTATTATTTTTTGGTTGGGTTATCTCTTGGCTAGGTTATTTTGCTTGGGCTTTTGGGCTATTTTTTTTTTTCTCTCTTGTGCTTACCCACATGTTTGGGCCTAAGAAATGGGCTTGAGTCTCGAGGCTCCCAAGCAACCCGAGACTTTCCATTTCTTGGTCCATCAATGGGTCTCATGTTGATTTATCACCATCCATGCCACAACCCACTCAAGCAAGCCCCGGGTTTTTTGAGTGGCTTGGGCCCACCTAGGCTTGTAGCGTGGTTGGGTGCGAGATAACGGCATGGCATGTTGCTCGGCATATTTTACCTTATCGCCCTTGGGAAGGATTGTTTTAATTTTTAGCATGAATTAATTATATTTTTTATCGCGAATCATAGCATGATAATTTGTTTATTTAGCGTGGCATGTGGATTATAACTCGCATGCGATAGATCCTTTTTTTCTTTTCCCTTATGGAATATTGTATTGGGCTGATAATTGCTCGGGCCCAATCCATGGATTTTTTGGGCCTCAACATTAGCCCCCTTAATTATAAGGGCCATGAACAGGTGCTGGAATGGGCCGAGTAATTAAACCCAACCCAAAAAATCAGATTTGTATTTGCATAGAACTCTTCTACTTCCCGCGTGCAAAATGACGGCGTGCCATGATTGGTCCCGGTGGTTATTTGCAGTTTCCCAACGCCAACTGCCTTCCTCTTCTTTTTATTATTATTTTTTCCTCCTTTGTTTCTCTTTTCTCGCACCGGGCACAAACTTCTTCCTTTTCCTTTCTTTTCCGCTCCAGACCCAAAACTTCTCTCCAACTATTTTTCTTGGGTTCTCTTTTGCTCTTCCACGAAGTCAGACCAAGGAAGAAAGTGCAATCGGGTAGGAATCACCCATCTCCAGCTGCTGGGAAGAAAGCCCCCAGTCCGAACTCAACCTCGTCGTTCCTCCTTCGTTCCAAAGGAGCCCGTTCGTCGCTGCTGGAAAGGTCCTCCTTTTGTGCGGGTTTTGCCTTCAAATCCCTGATTTTCTCCTCTTTTTGGTGCATTCGACGCCATCCCTTGGAAGATTTAACAAGGTACCCTCTTTTCTCCAGTTTTCCCTTAGATTGATTGGAGAATTTGTTGGGTTTCTCATACCCATGGATGTTGCTTTTTGTTTTGGCAGCCAAATACCAAAACCCCCCTTTTTACCCATCTTGTTTCCGTTGCAACAATAGTGCTCACGGAGTGGGTGCTAGCAAGGAAGGGCCCGCGCCATTGTCTAGGTTTCTTCCTTCGTTGATTTTGCTCGAGCTGCTGGAAAGGTAATTTTTTTTTCCTTGTTGGCTTGGGTTTCTCCCCCTTCTCTTCATTTTTATTTTGCACGGGCTTCTTCTTTTGTGTGTAAAAGGCTAATTTGGCATGATGTGCTTTCCCTTTGTTTATTTTTTGTGCAGGTATACACATCTTGGGCATAGGTGAGGGTAGGTGCTGGAAACCCTTGACGTTTTGCTGCTGGAACCTTCAAACCCTTCAGTCTTCTAACTTAGACTTTGGTAATAACTCTGCCAACTCTGGGTATTTTAGAATAGGTGTAGACTGATGCTTGGCCTAGGCTTTCTTTCCTTGAGGACGTATGTACGATCATTGTCACTTTGTGGAGAACAATTTTTTTTTGACAGAGTGGATGTTTCGTATTGCCTGGTTGAATATTCACTTTTCATTTGGGGAAGGGACTTGCTTATCCTGCCACAGAGCAAAAACTCTTGTTTGCCATGAGCTTGAATTTTAAATTGCATGTTTACTCGGATGACCATAACCAGCCGTGCTTGATACACATCTTATGCGTGCTAATTCCATCTTGCTTCTTCCCGCTTTTTTTATATGCAGGTACCTATCATGGCATCCGGTAATCCACCATTTATCATAAGGGATCATCTTTACTCCATAGATGACAGGTTGAAGAGAGGGAGACCACCTCCTCTGCTTAAGGGTGCCGACGAGGATATAATTATTGATGAAGAACCAGCGCCAGAAGCTATTCCAGTGATCGACCCCGCATCTGTATCAAGGTGCTGCGTAGAAAGGGGTCTGTTTCCGGCAGTTCCTTTGTTCTTTCAATATCCCTGCAGCACCAGCAAGGGTTGGTCGGAGTGGGTTGACGATGAACTGAAGAACCCGTCTACCCGTGATATCCTAAGCCGGGCAGGTGTGTTGAAAGCCATCTTTGCTTCTAAGGCTTGCGACATCCATATTGAAGTCAAGACGCTTCGACACTTGGTTAGACGGTGGAGCACCGAGACACACACCTTCATTTGTTCGTGGGGAGAGTTTACTCCCACGCTTGAGGATGTAGCTAATATTTTCCATCTCCCATTTTGCGGTAACCAAGATCCTTTCCACATTGCATTAACCCCGGAAGATGGGCTAAAGCTTGAGACTTTGAAGAAGGGTGCTCCGACCTCTCCTAGTACCTCTCTAAGATTCAGTAATTGGATTCAGTTTTTTGGGAACAGTGACCGAGATGAGCCGTGTCGCCTTGCTGCATTCGTGTCCTTGTGGCTCGGGAGGTTCCTCTTTTGTGATTTTTCTCAAGACTGCTTGCATGGGAGAGTGTTTCCGTTGGCTTTGGCAATAGCACGGGGTAGCATGATCCCTTTAGCCCCCATGTTCTTGGGGCACTTATATCGCTTGCTTGACCAGATTCAATTTCTTGAGAAGGGGGCGGCCGGAACCATGGCTGTGGAGACTTTTGTAAACTCCAGTTTTCTGCAGATCTTTTTATGGGAACGCTTCAAAGGGGTAGAGGTATCTCCACTCCCTTATTCAAAGGCTGAGTCACTGGTTGCTTCGGACGAGAATTCCTACATGCCGGGTAGTCTTCCTCTGATCTGTAGATGGTCCCGTCGCATGCAACGGAAGGGCCAAAACTTTTTAGAGCTGCTGGACGATGTTGAGCAATTTATTTTCCGTCCCTATTGTGCCTCATCAGAGGGCTTTAGAAGTATGCCCCTCTACGCTGACCCTGCTGCTTTAATGGAGGCTCCGGCCATGCCAACACAAGGTTGTCGGTTACGTAGAGAGGCATTGTTGAGTGCCGCATGCCTCCCTCTGCCCACATTCGGTGATGACCACTTGGAGATTTCTGTGCATTATTTTCCTTACCGGGTTAGACGACAGCTTGGGTTTGACCAAGGCGTGCCTTCTTGTCCCAACCATGGAGGTTCCTTGACCTTGCACAGGGTTTTCTGGACTGGTGACAGTGTGCCGGGAGACGGCAGACCTCTTGCCCTTGCTCTGGCCAGCCGGCAGCGCGTTGGTAGTCTCTCAAAGGCCTACCAAAATTATTGGAACCGTTGCTTTGCCTCGTTCAGCCGATTCCATGCTGCCCATTGTGATAGATTGATTCCCACCATCATTCATCATGCCCGTTTAGTGTCGGAAGAGAAAGCCATTTCCCTGAGCGAGAAGCGAAATCTGCCCTTTATCTCCAAAAGCGGAGAGATTGTTGGTGACTTTTCGAAGCTAAAGCGGAAGTTAGAAAAGTCGGGTTCTCACAGCGCAGGGAAAAGTGCTGTACATGGGAAACGGAAGCGCGAGGAAAGCTGCAGCGCCGAGAAAAGGCAAGCTGTAAAAGGGCCGAAAAGGTTCATCCCCAAGGTAGCAGCAAGTGGTCCTCCTAGCTCAAGAAAAGTTGCCTTGCCGGAGCCTTTACAGCAGCAGCCTGTAGCTTCCGGCAGCAGCGAGCGAGCAGCTCCAAAAGCTTCATCTCCTCACAGTAAGTATTGCTATTTGTTTGCTCCCTTTGTTCCCCGCTCTTTGCGTACCTATAAGTATCCCTTTTATCTTATTTTGCAGGTACTTCCCAAAGTAAAGGCAAGGGTAAGGGGTTTTTCGTGACCCCGAAACGTCGAAGCATGCGTATTCTTGAAACGCGGTTTGCTAATACCCGTAAGAATAAAGGTGAAGACTCGGGACCCAAAGTAGTGGTGACGG